TTTTTATGGTTAGGGTTGGCAAAACGACTCTTTGTTCGTGAACGGCTTGTGTTCGGTTCGCTAAGCAAATGAGCCAAACACGAACACACTTTTTGAGCTCGAAATATAAACGAGCCGAACATGAGCTGCGTCTGGGCTCGCTCGTGTTCGACTCGTTTACACCCCTACGAATATCCTACTAGAATATAACCATAAAAGCTAGAAAATATGTCAGAGGGAGGGAGTTGAGATTGCAGTCAGCAGCTAGTTAGGAACTTCAGACGAGTTTAGAATTGGAGGCTATCACCCTTGGCAAATAGCTTTAGTAAATATATGGCTTCTTGAATCCCTCGGGTGAGTTTAGTAGCTCGGTCCGGAGGGCCGAGTAAGAGTTGATTCTCTGGTGACTTGATAAGAGTCAACTCTATGCAATCGGAGACTTTTGAAGAGTTTAAGCTTAGTGAGTTCCAAGTTGCATATGGTTTAAAGTAATTCACAATTAATAATTTGCTAAACCTAGTTTAAACTCTCATTATGGCTTGATTAACTCAAAATCTAGCAAGTAAAATAATGGTTTTGGGGTGTTTCGATTTTTTAAACTTTTATTTTAATTTTCTCTCACTTTAAACCAAATACAAAAAAGGTGAAATATTTAAAATGCACGTACGTAGATTGCATTACAGTACTAATAATAAGCGATTAATTTATGAACTGATTGCTAAAAAAGAGAATCATAAAATTGAAAATTAGTAATATTTAAGCTAATTTTATATTATTGTTAATTAGGGGGTTAGTTAGGCTAATTGAGCATGCATGAATGGCTTGTTTTTAATTTTAAATTATTTATTTCAGTTTAACTTATTTAATCCTTTGAATTCAGTAATGTTCAATAAACATTCTTTAGATTTTAATTTCTGAACTGGCTTTTAAACATTATATTTAAATGCTATGAAAACATATCGATCTTAAGAAAAAAATGTAGTTAATCTCTAATTAGCATAATAATTTATTATTCGCCAATCGTTTTAGTTTTTTTATTAATTAGTTAACAACTGAGACCTCAGTGACCATGCAAATTTTTTTAAAAAAATTATTTTAATTATAATCTTAATTAACGCCCCAATTATTCTAAATTGTTCATTATTTCCAATTAATATGTTTAGTTAATTTATTTATTACTGATTTTAAGCTTATGCATCATGTTTAAATGGCAATAAACGTTTTATTCTTTTAATTAAACCATAATGAACTTCTAATTGTGTTAATTAAATTTATTAAATAACAAAAGATTTTGGCTAATTTATCAGTTAATGAATATTTTAGGTTGACCTATTATGATTAAGCAATAATAAATTCAATGATCTTAATTGAAGCTTTAATTAATTTTTAATCAGCCACAAAAATAATAAATGATGATTAATTTTATTAATTAGTTCTATAATTATGTGTCTCATATAATGCCGGATCTAATCAGTAATCAAACATTAGTGTTTAATTAGAATTCTAATTAATTCTTAATTAATAACATGAATATCTAATCAACATTATTAATGTCCAATTCCTTAGTCTAATTATCCGAAATAATCACTTAGGCTTATCTCTAGAACACATGAAATATTTAATGATACTGTTAATTTTACTTGAGTGTCTATTGAAAACTTGAAAAAAAAGCAGGAGACGTAGTTGAACCAAAATGCTGCCCAAGGCTTTGGTCCCAAGGAATAGTATAGGGGGTTCCATGGCTTCATACTCTGTAATTACTAGCCTCTCCTTCTTTTGTCTCGAAATATTCACTCATGCAAGAGCTGATTTTTTCAAATCATATCATTTATCTCAATCTTCATGATTTTCTAGAAAATATTGTGGCCACCACCACTATAATAGCACCCACGATAATATGACTTGCACTGGTCAATTAATGAACTAGAAAAATATCGAAGTGATCTCTTGATTCTTTTAAGAGGTCTATTTTAGTCCTAGAGTCCATAAAAGTGTCAAATTGGTATATGATTTTTTTAATTGAGGCTAAAATAATCCATCTTGAGGTTCATTTCAGCTCATATCAAAAAAGTGTGAGGACTAATTTGGCACTTTTATAAACTCTGAGAGTGAAATGACCCTATTTAAATAATAAGGGAACCAGGAGCTTTACTCGTTTATGAATTGCGAATTATAAATTTGATATTGTAATTGTAATTGAAGAAACATTCCTATCTAATTGATGTTATTTTAACGAAATAAATGATTGACATTTTTCTCTTCTTTTGTTCTGTAATTACTAGATGGGCATGGGAAGTGCTCTCGAGACGCTTTGTGGCCAAGCATTCGGCGCAAAACAGCTTGACATGCTTGGCATTTACATGCAGCGTTCTTGGGTCATCCTTCTCACAACATGCATCTTCCTTCTCCCCATTTACATCTTTGCAACCCCTATCCTCCGCTTCGTAGGTGAGGCTGAAGCCATCGCAGTGCTTGCAGGGAGGTTCTCCCTCTACATGATACCCCAACTAGTGTTCTATGCTCTCAACTTCCCAATGCAGAAGTTCCTCCAGGCACAGAGCAAGGTCTTGGCCATGGCCTACATCGCCGCTGCGGCTCTAGTGTTCCACATACTGCTCAGTTGGCTTCTTATAGTTCAGCTTGGGCTCGGTCTTCCTGGTGCCGCCGCCTCGCTCAACATATCATGGTGTTTTGTGGTGGTTGCCCAGTTTTTGTATATTTCAATGGGGAGTTGTCCTGGTGCCTGGAATGGATTCAGCCGCAGGGCTTTTCAGGACTTGGGAGAATTTGCCAGGCTCTCCATTGCTTCTGCTGTCATGTTGTGGTATGGTGCATTATTGGTTTTGTTTTGTAAAGATTTCACCGTCATTTTAGTTTTTTAGAGAGAAGAATCAAAATGATCCCCTCACCATTTATAATGACTTATTTTAACCTCAGAGTCTATAAAAGTGTGGACTTAGTCTCCATATTTTTTCAATGGCGATGAAACAGTCCTTCCTTTTAAAATGGGGCATTTACATGCACAGCATAGCATTCTTATGTATTTACATGTCTCTATCTTAAACTTTCATATTTACAAACATAGCACTCAAATCTTTAATAGCACATTAAAATAACACTATCTCCACTTTTAAAAAGTGAAATATACCTTTTTCATGTATGGATTTAAAGCACCAAAGCACATGTTTGTAAACATCAAAGTTTACATGTTAGCTATGTAAATACATAAAAATTATGTGCTACCAATGTAAATTTTCCTAGAACAATCTGATGACTAATTTAACACTTTTATAGACTTTGAAATTAAGAAGACCCTCTTGTAAAGAGCCGTGGGACAATTTTGACATTTTCTCTTCTATTTTATAAGCTTTTGATTTTCATGTCTCATTTGTCTAACACCAGCCTTGAGTTTTGGTACCTTATGTTTCTCGTCATACTAGTCGGCCGCCTGAAACACGCAGAAATAACAGTTGCCGCACTCTCAATCTGGTAAGTCTCTGATCTGCTACAACAATCAATCCAGTGAAAGATTTGTGATGATTCTGGAGTCTGAATTCTCTTTTATCGCAGTATGAATCTACATGGGTGGGAGATAATGGTCTTCATTGGCTTCAATGCTGCCATAAGGTACACAACATCCATCTCTATTGTTTCAAGTTTCATTCCTTTCTTCCATTCCTTCACCTGAAGCATCTATAATTTCTCCTCAACCAGTGTGAGAGTATCCAATGAGCTCGGCGCCGGCAGGCCAAGGGCCACCAAGTTCTCTATATTGATAATCACGTTGATCTCTGGTTTCATTGGCTTCGTCTTTTTCACTGCGGTGTTGCTTCTGAGGAATATTTATGCCGTTCCGTTCACGAATGATCCCAAAGTTGTTCGAGCTGTCGCACAGCTCATACTCGTGTTTGCCTTCACACTTCTCCTTGACAGCCTCCAACCAGTTTTGTCAGGTTCATTCTTCAAACCATCCTTTGCATTTTAGTCAATAATATTGAAATCTTTTTTTTTGCATAAATTATAATTATTTTGGTGCAAGTATTGTGTTTCAGGTGTTGCGGTAGGGGCAGGGTGGCAGGCATTAGTTGCTTACATTAACTTGGTGTGTTATTATGTAGTCGGAATACCACTTGGATACCTGCTTGGATTCACACTTGATTTGGGCGTGGAGGTAGTTCTTAGCCTCCCTTATTTTCCTGCCTCCATTTAACCTCTTTTATTAATGAGTACAAAAAAAATGGGGGATTTACGTACATACCAACCAATTTTTATATATTTACATATCTTACGCCTAAACATTAATTTTTTATTTATATAACACTTAATTTTTTAATATCACATTAAAAATATCACTAATGCTTTGATTTTTAAAGTGAAATGAACCACTTTTAAGTGCAAAATACAATTTAATCAATTATTCATATATTACTCTCATCTCTAAACAAATTCAATAAATTCTGACATCCATTATTTTCGCTACGTGTAGGG